AAAAGGCCATGTAATTGCAATGAAAAATTACACCAAAGTAAAAAAAGAAAACACTTCTTCATTCTCTCTATCTCTTCTTGTTTACATTTTACTGCATTGCTTTTATTTTATAACAGATTCGTCATACTTTCAATAAAAACTTCTCTTTCTAACTGTGTAAGTTTAATTATTCTAAACTTTTTTGTACGTGTCAGCCATAATTATTATAATAGTTACTACCACACATCATAAGTACCTTCCTCGTTTAGGGACAACTACTAAAATATTTGTATAAAACAAAATAGTAGAAATATTTGCTTGGAGTTTTAAAAACGAATCGAAAATATACAAAACAGTGTCCTTGCATGAGTAATTGAGAGGCTAACAAAATTGGTACAAGGGATGGAAGTAGCTACAAAAATTATGCCATTCCATTTAATTTGTCAATCTCTATACATAAGACCATGAAAAATTATATATCCAGCAATTTCATTTACTTTTTTCTTTTCAGTATTAATACTTTATCAAATCAATGTAAAGTACTTTGTAAAATTTTTATTATGTAGTGCAAACAAAAACACCAATTATATATATAGCTTAACCAACCAAAGAAAATAATTGAAAATAACGAAAAATAATGATGTAAAAATTGTTCAATATGATGTAATGAGAAAAACAGAGGATCATACAAATTAAGATTCAATAAAAGTCTCACTTTGCAGTACATATCAAACAAAGCAGAAAAAATGTATCTACACAAGCCAGAAATTACATCCAACTAAAGACAGTAAATACAGACGCGCATGTTATAGTGTATCCGACATCCCAACAATCACATTATTTTGTAATCGAGATATGAAAAATAAGAAAAAGAATCGTACTACTCCTATTACAAATGAGTATATATCACTACACTTTCTTATCAAACTTCTATCCTTTGTTTAAAAAGAAAACATTCTAGAATAGACAAAACCTCTAAGGATTAATCGACTGGAAAACAATAAAGCCTTCCGTTGGCAAATAGACCATAAACTAATTCTAATGGTTCTTTTGCAGAAAGGTAATATTATAGTACACAGTTGTCCCATAAATACAAGCCTCTAGATGGTAGGAGACATGAGAAAATGAAAAAGAAATTAGTTTGCCTATCAAGATGTTGCTGAGCAAAAGATGACAAATGAAAAGAGACAATAGATAATGTGGGCAAAATGGAATTTCTTATAGAAAGAAGAGAAAATTGTTAAATTGATCTGGCACTTTGTTTTGCACTATTATAAGTACAATAAAAGATATAAAAAGTTTACCCATAAATGTTATTTTTGGTAGCATCTCAAAGGACCAAAACTGATATAGAGGTGGAGCTTTAAAAAAATTGACAAACTGAACATTTAATAACTACAGTAGACTAAACGATCATTCCTATTTATTAAGCAAAAAGATGTGCACACCTACAACACGTTATAACTGATGGCAGATGAAAGAATCCCAATTCAATACCACCTAATATTTTCATCTAACATATTCATTTTCATTGATTTAAAGAGTAATATGGTCATTCAGCTTTTGAAGGGCATTTAAGTAATTCGACTTTAGAGGGTCTTCCCACTTTTAGTATAGTATAGTATATATATANAATTTTCTTAACCTCCAACCTAAGCTGAGATTATTTTCTTAATCCCTCCAACCAAATGACCAATGATAAAGTGAACAAAATTTTTTAGAGAAAAGAAAATGAAAGAATGAGAATCATAGATGCACAAACAAACAAACAAGAAGATGCAAGTATCATAATTCTTCATTAAATTGGTAAGAGGTACAAAGCATATATATCTACATATATACTCCACCTTGAATTCTTAATGACAAAGAACAGCCCCAGATGTAGATTGCCCTTAGTTATCAAGATTATACTATAACTTATCACACAATTGGTGGTTTTATTTAAATACAATATTTGGCCTAACACACGTTTTTTTTCACTCAAATATATTAAGCCATGGCCAATACTCTTAAATTCAAGAACATTTTGAGTAAGTTGATTAAATAAGAGAATCATAAAAAGCAGGCATATGAGGTGACTGGTAAGTTGCAAGAGTACTCCATGGTAATTCATGTGGTGAACTATAAGGATGATTTTGAGGTCCAGAAGTGAGTGATGAATATGCAACATTACTATTGTATCGATGAGACAATATTACATCTTCATCGATTCGACTCCTTTTTCGTGCTTGACATTCAGGATCGACAGACCTTATCTCGTTTCTATCAACCTCGGAATCAGATTCGAGTTCTTTAACGTTTGATTCAGATAATTCATCACATAGAGATGGTAATGACAAGGGTGAATATGAGTAGGACTTGCAGCTTAGCCTACAACTTGAAGCATGAGCTTTTCGTTCCTCCATTATTCCATCTAGAAATCTTCCTTGTGCTTCAAGTTTCATCCTCAAGTTTCTTTGAACCTTTCATAGAAGATTTCATCTTAAAAACTTTCTAAACATGGATGAAAATCACTAATTTAAAATTTACCTCAAGATGATCGCTTAATCGCCTTCGTGCATCCATATGCATTTGTAGTGCTTCATTAAGTTGAGCGCCCCTATACATATTAACATTGAGTTTAACTTCTTTACACTAACAGCAAATAGCTATTGATAAGTAGTAACCTGAAAAATAAGGCATGTTACCTACTACAACAGGTTAAAATACACTGAGAATATAGATATTATTTACACTATTTGTTTATATAAGTAAAATCCATTAACATTTCATACCAAATTTTGAGCAATATTAAGAGTGAAAATAGAAAGGGAACGTTGGCGTAACTAGTAAAGTTGTTGTCATGTGACCTGAAGGTCACAGGTTCGAGCCGTGGAAACAGCCTCTTGCAGAAATGCAAGGTAAGGCTGCGTAAAATAGACCCTTTAGGGTCCGGCCCTTCCCCAGACCCCACGCATTGCGGGAGCTTAGTGCACCGGGCTCCCCTTTTTTTTTTCGTTAAGAGTGAAAACAATGGTTGGAGGAAGAACTTTGTATAAGGTTTAAGGAATGAAGAAGTAACTCACGCTGTGGCACTGAAATTTGGCAAAATTTCTGAAATGCTTCTCCTTTCAAACTTGCCAACTATATGTTAGAAAATGAAAAGCCAGAAAACTAGAAAACGTTAGTATATTACATAACTTGCATGTAGGAAATGGAAATTCCAAAACTGTAAAAGGGAAGAGACTTACTAACGGGATCTTCACGTACAAATTTTGACATCCTGTACTTCTGTTGTGATTGAAAGAGAAAATAAGAAGTGAATAATAATAAAGCAAAGATTTGAGCTTTTGCATACATACATGATCAGTTGAGTACTAAGTTAGCAAAACAGAGAAAAAGACCAAAAAACATAGGACGTTTATGAACAAGCTTATGAACTCAGAGGCAGACCTAGGGTGTTGGGAGTGAGTTCAATTGAATTCATTATTTTACGCACAAAACATATATATACATGTGTGCATGAAAAACACTAGAAAGTAGACTCCTATTTATGAACACATATTTTTCAGGGAAAATCAAAATCTTGAACGGAAAAAGCTTAAATCTTGAATTTGCCTCTGTATGCTTGAATGTTGTATCCATCTAAATATTTTAACCTAGGAAGTAACAAGGCTAGCATTATGACAACAGAAACTACAAATGAATCAGAAAGAGGTGGAAAGATGTTTGGCACAAAAGATAGAAATGATATGCAATTAGGAAAGAGATCATCACAAGGGATATAAGTAAAAACCTGTAGGTGGCTTTTAACATGGAAGATAGTCAGTCCTTCAATTCCCATAACCTTCAAAATTCCTTTTGGTGTTGCTCCTGCAAGCCAATTTAGTTTATAAGAAATGAAAAAGGGATGAAAACGATGTGTTTAAAAGGTATTGAGATATAATTAAATAAATAAACGTGTGCTCTTACAAAACGGTTTAAACTTTCATTTGAGATGGTCACATAGTTCATTATGAAATCGAGCAGGCAAGAGGTTCTCGGTTCAAGTCTCACCGCCACACATTACTAGAAAAGGCATGCACGTGAGATAGCGTGACAAATACATAATTAAGTAAATAAAAGTATGCTTACTTTCTGGACCTCCAAGCTGAGTAACTGCCTTCTCAAACAGGTCATGAAGTTGTTGAGTCCATTTCAGTCTCTCCTTTGATGAACAATCGGACCGATTCGAACCCATATTGGAACTCAGCAGCTCTTTGAACTTCCCAGGCATTGCAGAGGAGCTATGCCAAAGAAAGAAGACTTAAAGTAAAGCTGTTGTCAAGATAATGTTAACAAGTTGATGGATTCTATGTAAAAGGGTAGGTAGAATGCTGCTAATTTTCGGAATAAACCAAGCTAAGTTAAAAAGAGTCCCCAACTTCTTATACACAAGATCTTGCTTTTTATATCATTTGGTGAAGAGAACTAAACTCATAAGCAATAACGAGCTAACAAGAGTGGTAAATGTTGTCACTTTTCTATTGGAATTATCTTAAACCTGCCTAAAGAATCGAGTTAGAAGACAAAATAAGGCATACAACGGGCTAACTACAAGCCAGCTTTCATTCTCAATTTTTCAGACAGCAGCTACCACTCTGAATCTTGATATGTTCCATCTATTTTCATCTTTTGGTTGATACCGTTAACTAAATCCAAATAGCACACCATTAATAAAAACTTTACAGACCACTTATCGATGTAATCAGGTCTTTCTCTGGAAATTATACCTGGTAAAAAAGCATGTAGTCTACATAATCCAACAGCATTCATTAGTTTATTTCCCCAGACCCCACACATGTGGGATTATACTAGGTTGTTGTTGTTGTTTATTCATTAGTTTATGTAACAAACTATGCAACCATCAAAATAACAAAGCACTATGTAACAACAAACATTCTTTTTTTACAAATAACCATGAAACATTTAACATGATAAGAGCATGTAAAGTAAATTAACCAACTTTCTATATATTGGGATTTGGTCAACATCCGAACATGGATCAAGGATAGAAGAGAAACCTCTTTATCCCCTTTCTAAGCATATATAAGAAAAGAAAAATTACAATAGCATATCCATTACAAATGTAATATTGCTGTACTATTCTGTTAATGGCGAAACAATAGGATTGATGCCCCCCTGTCCTCTGATTCATGAGATGACTACTGTCTTGCCCGCTTCATACAAGACGGGCATTTGTATTGCTTTATACTCTCAGCTTTAGCAGGTGTTATCTTCACACACTTTCCATGGTACCACTTCTCACAGATGTCACAGCCAATCCAAAATTCATCAGCGCTGTAGTTCCCACCACAGCTTCCACAGAGTGTTTCCCCATGTTCTTCTTCATCCTCCTCGTAGCTTTCATCTGCCAGGTTTGGGGTGCTTTTAGCCTGACCATCATTAGATCTCTGCACAAAACGGGGGGAATGGCATTTAGCAACGAGGGAGAGAGCGAGCAAGCGCATACATAGTCGATCATGAAACTCTGAGAGAGAAACTAAAGGAACTCAATATAAGAGTACCATGGTGTTACCGATATTATGCATTAGTAGTCCTAATACCAAGGGGACCTACAAACAAACTAAAGGGAAGACTTGGATGTTTTCCCTACCTTTATGCTACCACGTGATCTGCTCCCACTATCTGCACTGGGCTTATCTTTTAGAGGCTTTCTTTCTGTCACAACTTCAAAGACGGTGGGCAGATCATTCATCATGCTGAATAGACGCTTCCTGTCCAACAAGTATCGAAATAGAGTTATCAAAGACGAAAGCACAAAAAAAGCTCTAAGCTCCGTTGGGAATTTAAGCGCAAATCGCAAATAAAGTGTGGGCTTTACTTGAGAAAGGCGCAAAAAGAGGGAAAAAACAATTTTTTATGTGTAGTCCAACACTAATAATCATAAACATGAATAACTAACATATGGACAAAAAAATTGAAAAACAATTATGATAGAGTGAAGTATCAATTGTTTAGTGTCGTTTCTTCAGCGTTAAGCTCGTTGGCAAGAAAAAGTATGCCTTAGAGCCTTGATGATGACACTGAAGCGCCTGCTAAGTGAGGAGGCGCTCAACATGTTTTGAGCCTCGCTTCAGGGCTTAAGCGCGCTTAAAGCGTGCCTTTGGCAACACTATATTGAAAATCAGGATAACATAAGACTTTCCAGCAGAAAAGTTACACATAAAGTATAGTTTAACCAGGCACAAGTTAAAAAGGACCAAATCAGAAGGTTGTCCACAAATGGCCGGTAGAGTGACTATGTCGTAATTCTTTTAACCTCTTACAAACCTCCATTCATCCACCAGAAAAGAAGATAATGGGGTGATGAAAGTGGTGAATAGGACTATAAATAAGGCAATTCAACAACTTTATCTAAAGCAATACCCAAGAAAAAGGATTAGATGCAATGCAAAGTAAGGGATGGAGCAATGTGCAACTTTTCCCCTCCAAGAAGAGTAAACTATGAGATTTCTAGGAAAGAGAGCGCCTTGGCAAACAGGTGATAATTTCCTTAACAATTTTTCTCTTTATACGCAAATGCATGTTTATTATTACTAGAAACGTAATCTAGATTAGATAGAGCAAAGTGTCTAAGACTTGTTATTAGCGCCAAGAGGTTGTCCCCTAAAGAAAGTGCAACCAGAAGGAAATATCAACTCAGAAAACATAATGTACTTTCTACATCTAAATCAAGGTAATCTAGTGGCAAGATAAGTCTAGACACCCTTGAACAATGGAGATTCTGAAGCTTTTGCATATTTAAGTTGCATGACTATAGATGTTCCTCCACTTCAGATGTCTAACATCCAAAGAAACAATTTCCAGCATTAAATAAAATGGTCAGCCTTTCAGAAATCATGGGGTAAAACCATTAAAGAGTAGATTGACATCTGAGCAAACAAAATTAAGAACTGGCAATACACCACATCAAACGTTTACAGCAGAATATAGTTTCTCAATTATGCCCAGTACGTGAAAAGACTGCAAAGAAAAGCTTCAATAATCTACATCACTTCAGACCACAGCTTAAGTCGGTGAACAATCTGACGGTACTCACAGAAGATAAAAGCACAGAGAAGTGTTATGCAGTAAATTGATAAGTCTATGAATGCTGGTCTCTTTGGAAAGTTTTAGTCCATCAGGAAAATCTGGCAGATGGTTCCTGCCTGCATCTTTTGGTGTGTCTGGTCAGAAAGGAATTGCAGGTGCTTTGATGGGATATCAACTCCTTCTATGGTTCTTAAGGCTAGATGTCTTCAATGGTTGTATAGTTGGCACAATTTAGCTCCTAATGATTGTCATATTAACTTTTTTGATTTTGTTAGCTCTTTAGCTCTTGCTTAGCTCTTTTTGTTCATAGCTAACTGTCTTTTATGTACTCTCTTTTGTACTTCTTGCATCTTCTGGATGCCATCTATAAAATTCCCCTTCATAAAAAAAATTATGCAGTAATTTATGTACTTTATAGAAAGTTAAGGATAGACATCAGAACTCGTAGAACTAACTTTTAAAGGGCGGTACGTGCACATGGAAGATACATGTAATCAATCCTAACTACCAAAAGGCTGTTTTGGTGAACACTAAAATCTTCAAGAAAAAAGTTACAATCTCAATACACGACAAGCACGACAAAGATATACAACCAACAGAATGCATCCCCTCTGCCCCATCAGGAAAATATATAACCATATATACTAAAGAAGAATTCATCTTTTGGACAAACAGAACTTGTCTCACTTCAAGATTGAATGAAGTGGAAGGTGCAGAATAGAGACCTGATAGCACAGAGCAGCTATTTATTTGCTTAAACCGAGCACTGTTACCGTTGAATGACAGTCTTAACAATGTACCGTATCCAACATTTCAATGTATAACTGAGAATAACCGTGCTTCTCCAGTACAGAGAATCCTCATAGAAAACGCACAATAAATGCCAAGAAATACTATGATCAGGCCTTTCTGACACGTAGCATAACATAGGCAGAATTAGACGGTACTCCAGTTTATACTTTATAGGATTCACTGAAAGGTCAAAACAGCATTAGCATCGTTTCTTGATTAAATATGGTTCAGATAACTCGTCTTCAGTGTGTTGCTAAAGGCAGATGTATTAATTATATCAGCTACAAGCATTAAAGGTCCATCTTGCAAATTCACTTTCCCTATTAAGTGCCCATATCAAATACTATAGACTCTCGGACCAAGTTCTGTTTTTTATGCTTTTTTCAGAAATCTAGACCAATTATAAGATGGATCACCATTTGAACATCGGTAGACCTAGACCTTGGTTTAGTATGCTGCCTGCTTCATTAACGTTCTCTTTCTTAAAGCTTCACCTCCATTACACAATTAAGACACTTTGGCTGCAGAAACTCTCACGAGATTTCTCTATGAAGTCATAACAAAAATAAAGTTATCTTCGTTCTAATATTTTCCTTAAATGTATAAAATCCAAAAAGAGAAAATGCTCCATGATATGTACAAGGAGTTTTTTGCAAATTTCTATCAACAAAGCCAGAGAAGTGAAAAGAATTCAAGATAATTAGATGATTCCAATGCTTACAATGGCTTATTGGGAAGTTCCCCCTCGAAAATTGCCTCACTCAACCACTAAAACATTCAATTATAGCCAATTAGCAACTTTACATACAAAGAGAAAGTTATCCCTCTTCTTCCATGAACTTCTACGTGATAGCAGGAACCACCTAAGGGACGGGAGAGGAAGGTGACCGTTAAGAGTTACAAAAGTACCCCTACGCTTCACAAGAGGAACAGCAGAGGGATCCCGCATTTTCATAAAGTGTTCTCAAAATCTGTAAATGCCGATTTATCTCAATTATAATAACCACCAAAAGAGTACCTTTCATTTCGGTTAAGGCGAGCTCCAAAATAGAAAGACACAGAAAGCAACCAACAATCACTGTGAACAGCAACGAGGGAAAGCCAATCTCTACGATTCATTCCATCCCTAGCAAAATTTATCCCAAGTGCTGGCTCTGGGAGCTCAGGTGGTACTTCCTCGGCAGGAAGGTTGACTTCCCAAGTTTCATTTGGATGTCCATACAGACACAAATTTTCCTTCTCTACACCCAAGCAATGACACATTTTAAAAATCACACAAAAAGAAAAAATGTCAAACAAGACAAATTTACCTTTTAAGAAACAGGAAAAAACTAAAATAAGTCGCAACAGGTCCAGTTAAAACTCTTCTTTAAACAAAGTCACAGTTCATGTCATTTTGTTCAAAATTCTCCTTGTTAACAATGTTCCTACAAATATAATTTCTCTAAGCAAAAACATATCTAAACTATTTAAATCAACAAAAAATCTTAGAAATAAACACTTTCGTAGACTAACAGAAAACTCATTTATTAGCACTAAATAGTCAAACTAAGATTATCAGTTTTCTTTTTCACATCCAGTTCTCAAAAAATTTAAATTGACAGCATCATGTATTACTACAATCAAAAGCCATAAAATCCACGATCTACAAGAAAACGACAAAGTAAATTCAACTAAAAATTACCTGGATCACACAGATTGTAGAATTCATCCACATCTGGAAAACAAAACCAAAAAGATTCACACTCAATTATTCAAGAAAATACCAAATTACAAACCAAAAGGGAAAAAAGATCGAAACTTTATTAAAAAAAAAAAAAAAGAACATGGGTATCTATATTTATGCATGAAGTACCATAAGTTAAAGCACGAACTATGCCAGTTCTACGAGCGTTGTAATCTTTGAAGATCTCTTCTACAGTACGAGGACTTGAAGGAATTGAGGCCATTTATTAACCTCAGAAGAAAAGAAAAAACGAAGAGAATTTTTAAGAATTTATATCTGAGATCTACGAAAAGAAGAAGGAAAAAATTACTGGGAATTGTTTAAAGAAAAAGAACAAATTGAATTGAGAAAGAGAGATGCGAGTGTTGGGAGCTTATGCTACGTGATGAAAATTAATTAATAAACATACTAATAAATAAAGGGATTTTTACCTATCTATACCATATATCAAATCTTATTACCAAAAATGTTCATAATTTGTTATTTACCCATGCAATCCACACTTTTACTACAAATTATATACCAATCCAAAAATAGGTAGATTTTGCCATTAAAAAAGCCCTAAAATGAAGGCACCAGATCTGATGTGATTCTGTCAACGATTTTATTCGAATTTTGAAACAAAGGAGATCTCTCTTCCTGATGAAGGCACCAGATCTGATGAAGGCACCAGTTGCGTAATTATCTCCTTCCTCAACAGAAAGAGATCTCTGTTGATATCAGCTACAACAAAAAACGCAATCAAATTGTACAATTACTGAAGAGAGACTATATTTGTTCTTCGTCTCAAATTGTACAAAATTGCTCTTCGTCGATATCAGTACTCAAATTGTAGAAACTATATCTGTTCTTCGTCTTTTTTCCTATCAACTACACGAAATCATGTCAAAAATCCCAATAATGCTGAAATCGAATGGTAATTGGGATAACTATGGCAGATTTAGAGATTTTGAAGTTGATGCCATTGTGGTAGATGATAATGCAAACTACGGAATTCTCAGTTCTACAATTGCAGAACAATTATCGATTGATACATCGGATAAAATTATAGAAATCAAATACATTGTGAACGAGAATTGTCCTCCAATGGAGATTAGGAATGATATGGGGGTTCGTGCTTACATGGAAACCAAAAAGGAGAATAAAAACTTAGGTTCGTATCCTTTATGTATAAGCGTAAGAGATTTCAATATGGAATTGGCAATCAACAATGAAAGCACCAGTGCAGGTATGTTTGATTCGACATTGCAGAGAGTTATGGTGTTACTATGTTATTTACAATATTACTACAATTACCTACAATTAAACTACAAAGCTCATATAGTACTGAAAAGGATAAAGCAATGTTGCTTTCAAAATTATCTACATAGAAACTACATTTAT